AATTCCACTCCATTTCACACTGCTAAAATCACTTTTAACTCCACAAATTCCAAGTTTTTACGAAATCATTTTCTTCTCAAGTCTCTCAATATCACTTATAAGCAGCAGTCTAGCATGTCAAAATTACACATGCAGATCCAAATCTTCAAAACTGCCCTATAAATTAAAAATGTCAAATCTCACATGATTTTAGCACAACAAAAATTCCACGGTCATTTGTGACCTCTCATTTCAAATGACCACAAGTTATAGGATCCAGGTCCTGTACACTTCAGTCCCTTTGATTTCACCAGAAGAGACTGAAGAGACAACTACAGAACCTACATCAGCATTCAACAATGGCCACTAAGAATTTAGCTTGTGTACTGTGTTCATCTCACAATTATGAGAATCTCTCACAGGAGATGATACACATATGTGCATGTACTCTGGTTGAGTGTCTGGTTGACTCTGTGCAATAGTGAGAGTGAGAGTGACAATGAGTCTGTGTGACCAGGCTCAGCACTTGGCCATGCTAGCTTGTTGTGCAGCCATTGCCCCGCCAGCTTCAGGGCTGTGTGAATGAGCCACTCTCTGAGGTGTATGTTCGCTGCCCATTTATGTGCAATGTGAGAAAGCTTGTTTTCCCAATGTGCAAGGAGAGGAGCAGATAGGTGTAACTTTCACTTTTGCCTTGAATTTGGCCAATGTGGCTTCCTTGCCCTGCTTGAACATATGGGCAAGCAAATGTGTGCTCCACTCAGTTATTGGCTTCCATTGCTGCTACACCTAAAGAATGATTCATGTTAGCAATTAAAACACACAAATTGAACAAAACAATGAGGCAGTACACACTACCCCAGGCACAAGGTTGGTGTGGATGTACTGCCTGATGCTCAGCGACAGGATGGTGTTGTACCTTGCCTCAACTCTCACAATAAACTCATCCTTCAGCTTCTTGCCCTGGCCTTGGTCCACCTTCACACTGTCATAGTAGATGTGTAGAATCTCCTCCTTGACTTCCTGCGCATGTCATTCTCAGTTGTTGGCTGGTTCTTGTGGAGATCTTCCACAACGCTCTGTAGAAGCTCCATCTGCTCCTGCTGTCTTGCCCACAGCTTCTCCAGGCCCGCCTGCAACATCTCCATTTGACCAAGAAGTACTAACATGTACAGAGTAATAATCATTGTATAAATAAGACACATTAATGAAATGAGAGTGATGTGTACCTGCATTCATGACCTCAGAGGACTGGGCTGTTACTGTAGGCCTTGTGTTGCCCAATCCTGTACAGATAAAGTGAAATTAAGCAAAATTAGAAATTGTGTAGTACACTTTGCTCCCAGAGACAGGTGTCCTGCACCCATGGGGGTCCAAGAAAGTGGATGAGCTTAGGCCAGTGTTGAGCAACCTCAAAGTTAGGGAACTTGAGGGTTTTGCCTGCAGTTGTTGCTCTCTTGGTTGTCTGTGACTTCTTCTTAGGCCACTTGATGATTTTTTTTTGAGCTTGTTGCTTGTTCATTGAAAAGCTTGACCATGAGACGCTTCCACCTCTTGATGCCCTTCTTGAGCTGGTTGAGGTTGTGGGTGTTGAAGCTTACTTGCTGCAGGAGTCAGACCATGTCAACATGAACATGCCAACACTCTTGCTCCTTTGGATTGCTGAGTTGCTTGTCGAAGAGGCGTCCTGTTTGTGAAACTCTGCTTGCCCAGAAATGGAGGGAGAGCCTTGAACACCTTGAGATAATTAGAACAAAATATGAAAAAAACATTGTGATGAGTGAACATACCTTTATAAGGCCCAGGTGCTCAATGT